AGCGAAATTTAGAAAATATAAGTTTTTTTGCTTTAAGAACAGAAGTGAGAACCATTAGAAAGAGAACTAATTTATAAGCATGAATTTCAGCAAAACACCAAGTGTAATAAGTGATTTGTTTGTACAAACGATTAGCTTGAAAATATAGTTTATATAACGATTCTTGCCATGTTTTAGATTCACTATTTAAAATTTGTTGAGTGCGAGAACTATTTGAATGTTTAGTATTTCCTAAAAAGTAGAAGAAAGATGAATAGGAATATCAATGATAGTTGTTTTATCTCAAGCATAAGCATGAATATTAGTTAATGTACCCTTGGTGGACCTTCGATATTTTTGTCACTAAAAGGGTTCTTCAAAAATCATGCTATTAGAGAAGACAACATTGAAAATAGCTTTCATAAGAAAGAAACTAATGAATTTTTAAAATCGAGAATCGTTTACTACGGTTAATGGTGGTAGAGTTCGATTTCCAAGACACGCAAATGCATCTGAAAAATCATTTTTTGTCTATTTCTAGTCACTCTAAATTCGGAATATATCTTTCTATTCACCGTTAGCTTTGAGTTACTACAAATCTAAGATTTAGTCATTCACATCTATTTAGTAGCAGAAGTTAATATTGAAATCAGACAATATATCTGACGATTCTTATTTCGGAACCGAAAAAATACGGAATGCAAGAAAAATTCTGATCATTACAGTTATTACTTCGTAGGATGCTGGCACGAGTAGCGAGCTAGTCAACATGTCTCATTTTGTACAGATTTTGTCCGTTGATCACTTTGACAAAGATACTTTTCAATTTGTACCAACAAACCAACGATATTTTAGTCAAACTTTTCTGAAGCTCGAAACGATGTGAAACATTCCTATAAACCTATTCTACATCGTTATTTACAGATGTAAATAAAAAATTGGTTTTTCTAATGGAAATTTTTTCATTTTTTGTTGTTGATCATTAATGAAGGTCTCTAGAAACATCACAGCAATAGATGCTAGATTCCACTCATATTGATGTATAAACCTAAACTCGACATCTTCCTGCACTGGCTAACACAAACAAATTAATTTCTTCGGTCAAAAATCAAGAAAGATATGCTATTGGCTTTCAAGCAAACGATATTTAGAATACTCTTCATTAAAATGATTTTCTCTCGTACCGATCTTGAGAAGATCTAGATTACAAAAACCTGCTCCTGTCATTTCCGAATGACGTCAAAAAGTAATAAGTTATGAGAAAACATGTCGAATTCGTCAAAGAATCGTTCTTATCTAGTTTTCATGGATATATATCTGACGAGCACCTAAATCACTTAGTTCTCGTTGAGCACAATTTCAAGCAAACAAAACAATAAAAAGAAATGTTAGCTATCAATCCCTTTCTTAGATAAGAAATATAAAAATAAACTATGATCAAGATTTTGAATTTGTCTATTGTTGTTTTTATCCTAGCTCAGAATTCTCATTGAGACTAGACACATAGTAATGTCTTCATTCTTTATCGAATCAGAAACGAAGGATCGAAAAGAATGCTGTCAAGAATGCAGCATCCTCCTGTGTCTGAAACGAAGTGAATTTAGCCAAATCAATATCCCTACGAATTTCAGATCAAAAATGGAGTTATGTTTAAACTTCTATGATTTAGATTCTTTCTTTATATGTTTTATCGAAGTCAATTATTATAAATACTTTGACAAACTAATTAATTTCATCCAACCCGAATGAATATAATGTAATTGTAATATATTAACCATTAAGAATGTACTTGATGTTAATAATTTTACAGTTAAAACATCTGATGGAACGACTTCAAGTCCAATTGATGCCAGTCTAAAAAGGCAATCATGTAGAAAATGATTTCTCTTAACAGAAAAAAAACAGACATACAATTCTTTGCTAAATTTTTGAGATAAAAATATATTGACTTTTTCGACCTAAAATATAAGAATAAAATGTGATGAAATTATCTTCAATTATATATATACTTGATAAATATATATTCCAATTAAAATCAGCATTGAATAAATGATAGTGATTAAATGAAATGTTGCCACTGTTTTTCGCCAAAATTCGAATGGAATCTAAATTCAAAATCGATCATTTCCTTTTCTGTTCTATGAATATTCTTCTTATTTGAAAAGTGAGAATAAAGAATAAATAGAAGATCATGTATATTATTCGATAAATGACGACTGTGTTTTGAATACTTGCAAGTAGAAGCAAAACACAGGAAACAAATATCGAATATTTTGTGAAAAAATGAATACACCATTGTCCTACAAGATATCATATTCTTCATATTCTGAAAATCAATGTGAATAATTCTTACCGAATTCTCGACGATTTGTGACTAATGGTGTAAACATTATCTATAAAGTTTAAATAGAAATCTAAAACAAAATCAATATAAATTTTGTCACTCCTAGCAAAATATCAGATGATAATTTGTTTTCATTCAACAACGTATCATAAAAAAATCCCGACTTCAGATCATTCTAATTTTTACTATCGATTCCTTCAAGAAACCGTTCATAAAGAATGTTCGGACAACGCAAGACAGGGGGACTCAGCGCAAAGCAGATCTTTTCGAAAAGTGAGAGAGAGAGAGAGAGAGTTATACCTATTGAAACATTCGAACTCTAATTACTATTTTTTTTAGTATTTTTGGAAAATTTTCAAGTAAAATTAGATTTCGAGAAACAATTTCACAAGAGCAATCTGGCACGAATCTACGGCACATCATATACAAACAAATTATGCGTATGGAAGATAGAGCCCGTCGAGTCCCAAAATTTTCGATCCGGACCCTGACTCGGTTTATCGAACTTTTTTGGACTCAGACTCGGAGCCAATCGATGTTCATGATATTTTCGATGAAATCTTTTAATTCCGACATAATAATCGTGCCGAATATAGAGATACTTTTTTCAAGTAATTGTATTTAACGACGTACATCCTACGTATTTCTCAGAGACGTTCAACAGTAATCTTATAAAGTTGAAGTCGTAATTGACTATTTACTGTAGAGTAGCAACTATGAGGAAGGATTCGAATCCGGATGCAGGCCTACTCGACAAGTTCTGATGGAAGGTATATTGTTTGCCTGATACAAGACAATATCTTTTAGTCAATGAGCTTTTTGTTAACAGTTGCTAGTACAAATTCTGCGAGATTGAAATACGAGACACAGTAAAATTTGTCATATTGTAAACGAAGAAATTCAGCAAGACATGTATCAATTTTTAAATTCCATATACTCTTACAACAAATGTTGAAAGAAGATGAAAGACAGACATGTTGAACTCCTTTATTTTTCACATTAATTTTTCAATAAACTTGATCTTGATAATTATATCTATCACAAGTTGCGACGGAGCGTTACTAAGGTGTCTGCCACGATCTGTAATGAGTAGCAAACGTGACCGAAGTATCCATGATGGCACATTGGTCATACATGTTACAGTCTCTAAATGGATTGTAAATTTCTTTCTATACTCTTATGCATTTTTTGGATCTTGTCTTACAAAACTTTTTTCGAACTGGACATCCAGAACGAAGAAAGAATCACTTATAATCAGACATATTCCGAACAAAGGTGAACAATAGGTCAAAAAATGCTATTTTTATCTAGGTTATCAACTGATTTTTTGCACTAAAAAAATCGTTAGAAGTCGTCGGAGATTATTACCACGTAAACAGCATAACAATTGACTAAAATGGGAAGAGAAAGGAGATCGATAATATCGAAAATGATCAGAAATGTCCGGGAGCCATTGAAAATTATTCGTAATCAATAAAACTTGTAAAAAATCAATGATGATAGACTTCAAATAAGATGCTGATTTCTCATGATTTTTTTTTCGTTTTAAATGCTTTTTATTGACTTATTTCGTTATCGATATTATCCGAAATTTCCAATGAGTACTTTTGGTTAATACAGGGTGCGTAAAAATGTTTTTCCAGGGGGGTAACACTGTAATTTCAAACAGCATATATAACTAATTTTATATCAAATTAAAGCGCGTCGAAAATGGAGTTTTTTCATCCTAAATTGTAACAGTTATCAAAACTTTTTGATGTCGAACTTAAGAAATTTTACATTTTTTTTGGGATAGAAAACTAAGACGTCAGTGATTCAAAAATGGATTTTAGTATTTTCTTTTGATATTTTTACATGGTTCGATAGAGCTTGTCGAGCTCTACAAAACTGTATATATTTAAAATTTTTTAAGCTAGTTTTCTTAGATAAAAAAATCAAAAAATCACTTGGAAAATGCTAAAAAATATTAAAAAACTTATTTTTTTTTTATTTGAGAGAAAAATACTCGATTTTTCAATAAAAATAGTTTTTTTTCATTATTTTCACAAACAGAGACGTTTCAAAATGTAACCACCAGGTACAACGTGAACAGCTGCGCCTATTGATTACATTTTGACACGTCTATTTGTGAAAATAATGAAAAAAAGCTATTTTTATTGAAAAATCGAGTATTTTTCTCTCAAATGAAAAAAAAATAAATTTTTTAATATTTTTTAGCATTTTCCAAGTGGTTTTTTATTTTTTTTTATCTAAGAAAACTAGCTTAAAAAAATTTAAATATATACAGTTTTGTAGAGCTCGACAAGCTCTATCGAGCCATGTAAAAATATCAAAAGAAAATACTAAAATCCATTTTTGAATCACTGACGTCTTAGTTTTCTATCCCAAAAAAAAATGTAAAATTTCTTAAGTTCGACATCAAAAAGTTTTGATAACTGTTACAATTTAGGATGTAAAAACTATATTTTCGACGCGCTTTAATTTGGTATAAAATTAGTTATGTATGCTGTTTGAAATTACAGTGTTACCCCCCTGGAAAAACATTTTTACGCACCCTGTATAATTCAACCAACAAGAGACAACTTGAAAATATAATTAGTAGAGAGTTTTTTTTTTCTAAACACACAATTACAGAATAACCAATGAAATAATATTTGATATTGTAATGATCTTTGTATTATTTTAATGTATGAGGTTGTTCATGTTTTGGTAGAAGACGGATAATTTTTCCATCAGGTAAAACACAAAGCTGCAAATGTTTAAAAGGACATGATTGAGAGATATTTTCTAAATGTTTTGGTAATTCTTGCAGACTATACCAACAAGGTGAAAGTGATAAATAAAAAAGATTTGGAAGAAATTCTGCACGAATTGAAGTTAATTGTGTTTTTGTTGGTTTTTCTATATGTAATGAACGAAGATTAATTAATTTTGATAAATCCAAATCATTACAAAATGTTGAAAGATGTAATGAAATAATTTGAGAAGAAAAATGTGAAAAAGGTTTTTGATGAAATATATCTTTCGATGGAATATTTATATAAAAACGAGCAGAATTTATAATTCCATTTATTCGACGATGATTAAGAAGATAAAATGCAAAATAAATATCAATTAAACGAATATAATTTTCAAATAACTCTAACAATATTTCATCTGGCAATTGTTCAAAATGACCAGTTTCATTGTTATTTATTTCATTGTTATTTATTTCATTCATTGTATTATATCATACAATCAATATGGATTACACAGTTGAATTTATTTCTTTGTTGGTAACAATAGAACGTATCACTCGGATGCTAACTTATCATAAACAAAAAACAAAAAAAACTATTGTACTTATTACTCATTTGTTTTGTTTTTTACTCTGTCAAGGACATCTGTCGCAAATATTATATTTTTTTCTTTTCTTTTCTTATCCAATAAAAGAAGGGAATAAAATCATAACATAAAAATATATAGATAAAGCACATGGTTTTTATCAGAAATAATAAAGAATACATCTTTGACAATCGAAAGTTGTCTAAAAACTAACTTAAGTCGAAGTCATCCAGTCGGATCTTATAAGAAACTCTGAACTTTCCAACAATTTTTAACTGTCGAATTTCGTTGATAGGATCCAACGGTATCCAAAATATTTGGCACATATTTGTAATAGTTAGTATGACAATGAGAAAACATTGTCCATTAATCGAAATCTAACCGTGGCGTACATAAACGATCACTTAAAGAGAAAATGGAAATATACGATCCAATGAATAGTAAGTTTAATTATTCATTTTATTTTATTTTTGTATTTTTCATTATACTATTGCATCAAGTCAATCAGGAATAAATATAAGTTATTTATTCTATTTTTTTTTGCTTTATTTTAGATTTATTATTCAATAACGAAATGTAATAATAAACTCAAATGAATTGAAATAATAACAGAGTCAGAAAAAATTTCTAGTAAGGAAGATAGGTAGGTTGAGTCCCTATTAGGGGTACGCAAGCTCAGGTCACGAACTCCGCTCAAATGAGCGAAAGAACTGTTCGAACAGCTCATGTGAAATGAGCTGTTCGAACAGTTCAGCTCAGCTCAGTGAGCGGTTTCAACAGCTCATTATTTGTGAGCTTGAGCTGAGCTTGCATACCCCTAGTCTTGATCAATCTAAGCACCAAAGTTTGGACTCGTTTAATTATGTTTCTCATATTGACCTGCTCTTTTAGCTAAGTCATGCTAAGAAGCTCAAATAGACTTGATCTAAACTGAGATCATGTATTTTATCGTTAGGCTATTCTAAGGTTTTATTAGGGTAAAATCATTATCATATGATCGCAGGCACCTATCCAGAAAGAATTTTAAGGAGTTCAATATCTAGTAGGCTCCAAAACATAATCATGTCGATTAAGTTGACCACTAGTTGCAATTATTCATTTTTCTGCGTCTTTACAATATCTGTTGGTCTCTGTGAATATATGACTAACTTCCAGATTTGAAAATCTGTTCAGAACGAAACACTGTGACAATTTTCAATGAGTTATAAAAACAATATATCTAAGAAAAATTCAAATGAAACGTCTGAAGTTCAACTTAGTTTGTTCGAACGTATTAATCGTATTTGATCTAAAATTGACTCCCGATCCTCATACCAACTACTGAAAGATCAACACACTACGAAATAGATTATCTCCAACATGAAAAGTACAATTGTGATGCATCATCAAGATATCAGTTCTGACTAGTCCATCCAACTTTGTTAGATTAGCCTGAATCTCTATTTAGGTGCTAATAAATACAAATTATGAAGTAGTTAATATTATAATAATTATCAATAAGTATCAAAGAAAATCGATACTATTTACTCACAATCAATTCATACCGCTTGTTTTTCCTTGAGATAGAGACAATCATCGAATTGATTATTTTCTTTGATTTTAAGACAAACAAGAAACATTTCCAAAAAATTATTTTCGATTGATTAACAGTATAAACGACATATGATTATTCTGCCACTTGTTTTTCGTTTTAGTAAATAATACTAGGAGACAAAGTTTCACAATCACTCATCGGATAGGACTTATGCTCAATATCGACAGTCAACAATAACTTTGATTTTATTGTTTCAGATTCATCTTCGATCTATTTTTTTTTTCTTTTTGAAATCTCTATGTTAGTACACAGTGTGAGGATCTTTTAATATATTTCACGGTAGATTTCTTCTCTCATTTTCAGCATAATATCTTGTTTCTATGTGTGACATAATGGTGTGCGTGTGGATTATTGATGAAAACATTCACATGTACATCCTCAAGCTAAGAAATGTTAATGTTTAAAAAAATGAACTACCTTTTATGGGTTTTTGAAATGAACGCGTACTATTTTTCTCATAGAAAATATACTAAGCAATATTCATCAAAAAGAAAGGCTTCCTATCAAGTGAAAATTGGATAGGAAGCTTTTCTTTGTCTCTAAGAATTACATATTTTCTCTAGCGAAATTTTAATCTTCGAATTCTCAACGATAAAAAAAGAATACCAAGGGGTCCTTCTTCAGCAGTCAAAAGATAAAAGAAATCTATATGTATCAAAAAATAATATTCGTCAATCAAGTTTATGATATCTTGTCAAAACGATCAACTATTAATAATACAGATTCCAATATTCATAAAAGCGAAAGATTAGTGTTATGAATGTTAGGCTTTAAAAAAAGTCAAGATTAATAAAATGATATAGCGCCCAGAAATTTTTGCAACGCAATATATGCCACTTAAAAGCTTTGAAACTGAAAAATGGATCTCAAACATTTTCAAACAGCACTTTTGGCCTTGATGAACTGTTAGAGTACACTAGAGTTGAATTTAACCCCACTGAATAGATTCATTTAAACTATTTGCTTTTTTCTTGTCTATAAATCTGACTTGAGTGCTGTACTAGCAAGTACATTGTTTATTGAAGTGTTTTTTTTTTGCCATTTGATAAATCAGATCGAAATTTTCTTCATCAAAACAGACGATTTATTCGTCTTTTACGTTTCTTTAACCGAGAAAATGCTTCTGTCATTATGGAAGGCCACGTGTGATAGATATTGCAAACCATGTTTCAGAAGAGCTGTCATTATTTTTCATCGTTATCGCTCCACACAATTTGCATTTAACCTTTGACGCTCGCATTGCTTTCTCACATGGTCGATTGTAGACTGATATCAAAGCCCATTGAATTGCGGAACTCGAAACCTTGCTGTAACAAATCTTGGTTGATGCACGTATTATCACAATGTTTCAAGTAAATATTTCAATCGAAATATTATTTCTTAGCAAGAATCATCGAAAATATGTTCGAGATAGAGGAGAAGTATACTATAACTGTTAGATTTTGTCGTTCAAATCTTGTTAAGAAAAAAAAACAGATTCTCAAAAGAGTAAAAGATCTATTTATTATATGATAAACATTTCCTACAGACTGTCGATAGGAAGTTAGTACCGTATGTGCTGATTGTAATCAAATCTGGCGTGATAATTATACCATGATCAATCAAACACAACCTCTAGGCATCAGATGAAGAGTGTATTTGAGCAAAATGAGAAAAAAAAGATTAGTTCACAAAAATGATAAAGTAGAGGATAATGATTAAAGAATTCGGTTCAATTAGGAACTCTAACAATTATACTTAATGCCAATCAAACACGAATAAAATTCACAATTTCTCGACTTTTTTTTCAATTCCCTATAAATTAAATGATTCAATACACAACAGGAAATCATCAAAACTCGATTCACGCAAGTCAAGCAAAACAAAAAACATTTAGTAATTAGAGAATCCATGAAAATTAATTTTAAATAAATTTACTATCAACAAAGAAATGACAATGTTGAGGTTGAATGAGTGAGGTTATTGGTGATTTCAATATCTTTTACTTCCTTCTCGTACCCACACCTCAGCTTTACCTTTATACTCTCAATTCACTTTCACCCTCGAGTCATTACGTGTTCACTTGTCGTGACTCTATATGAAAGCATAGGATTACCTATGGAGAAATATGAAGTCAATATGAGACCGTACTCAAACATGGTTAGCAAGCGTATTTTACTTCGGCACATTATCGTATCTCTTTGCATATTATATTGAGATATCCAATTGCTATGCTGAATCATGTAAACCTCTTTATCGCTTGAAATATCGTCTGTTGAGTTTTCTTGATTGGAATTTTCTGAATCTTCCATAACAGATAGATCTGAATGCATAGAATAAAAATTTTCATAAGGTATGATTTTCCCAATGTTTCCTTTGTAAATTTTTGGAAGTCAGAATGGCTAAAATATTTTTAAAAATATCGAATACGTATACTTTTGTTTTCTGTGAAAAACCTTATTTTTGAAGGTCAGAAAAACTGAAATGCTGAAGAAATCATGAACAAAAGCAATTTTTAAACTGAAAATATTTTATATTTTATATCGAGATAATTTTGAATCAAAAACAAAACTACACACAGATTTTATTTCGATCGAAATATCTATCAAAGTTTGTACCTCAACAGTCATATCATGTAGAAGAAAACTGTGTTTTTCTCATTTGAAAATTCGATTTGAGAGGTGCACAGAGAAATCTAAGGTTTTTTTTTCCTTTCTATTATGTAAGATCGATGTTTTTGTTGAAGAGAAGCAGTAGACTTTTCAGTTGTTGAGATATGTTAAATAAAATGAGAATACTAAAATCAATATAAAGAGAATGTCTTGCATATCCCTAGTGAAAATTTCATTATTTTTGTTAAACAGAAACCAAATGAATGCATCGATTATTTCGACATTTATGTTGATTTATTATATGTTGCATCAATATTGTGAAGAAACGAAGAACAAGAAAATTTGACCGATTTTTTTTTCTTTTCTTACACATGTTTTACATTCGGTGTGTCATTCTCCATATATGATGTAGGCGAGTAAAATTATTCATAAAAATGAAACACATTTGTCCCGTTCTCTTCACCAAGATCAGTAGTGCATAATGATGTACGCACATTGAATCATTTTATTTTATAATATTTTTACCATCACCGATGTTGCTTGACAATCTTGATCGAACTGAATGTAAGTTTTGTTTGTTTTTTTTCTTGAATTGACTCTATAGATTTATTTGAAAAAAAAAAAAGATCTCGGCAATACTCCATCACAAGATGTACCAATACTTACATTAATTTTTCTTTCAACAATTGCTCATAGTTTATTATATTATTTTCTTCCGTCATCATGGACACCATCAATTAAAAGTTACGTCGTTTCAACATTTCATGCAGCTATATGTGTTTTAAGTGTTATGAATTTTTTTGTACGTTATTCAGTTAATTTAAAACAAATTAATCGAATAGCTGGTGGAGGAATTTATGGAACTGGTGATGAAATTATGACTTATAGTATCTGTTATTCCTTTGGTTATTTTATATATGATTTATTACTAATGTTATCTGATAAATCATTAAGAACAAAATCAGCATTGATTCATCATATAATAGTTCTCGTAGGATTCTTTTCAGGTAAATTGTTCTTTTCTGTTTTTAAATTCTATATTTTATTAATGACTTTGTGCAGGTATAATGAATGGAATCTGTCATTCGTGTCATTTCTATTTACTTGGTGAAGAATTTTCAACAATTTCATTAAATTTGAAAGCAATATATCAAACTCGACCACGTTTACATAAAATCTTTGGTTATTTATTTGTCATTAGTTTTGTTTGTTGTCGTCTTATTTATGGATCAATTATATGTGGATATGCTTTTCGAGCTGCACCTCAATTTATTCGAATGGCATCTAGTGTTGGTGATATAAAAAGTGTTATTATTGGTTTATCACAAGCTGGTTTATGCATATTATCAAGAATACTCAATTTCTATTGGTTTAATTTAATTCTGCAAAAATTAATTCATTTACAGAGTTCAAAAAAACAAAAATCTTTATAAAAAAAAATCATTTTAATTGAAGTATGCTTCTTGTCTTCACATAGAACTCTTTACCAATTGTGAAAAATTTTGTTTTTTGAATACGTTCGATCATATTACATTCAGCAGTTTTTTCCTTTTTTTGCTTCACATCAAAATGTATTTATCAAGCAGAAAAATATTTATATGAAAAATTAATAGTAAATTTACCACAGGATAATCAACTAACAAAGATCACGATATATGCATTTCTTTTCTTAATCAAGCAACCAAACTAATGAATAAAATATTCTCTAATTAATTATTATTTTTTCTTTTTGAGAGTCAATTCTTCTTTATTTCTATTGAGTATTTTTTTTCTAATGGTCTTCATTTTTTGCTGAAAAGTATTGCTCAAAGCAACGTTGTTTTTGAGTAGAATTATTTATGTGTATATAAGCCAGCTATAATTCAAAATTCAAGTTAATTTTTTTTTTGTCTTCTTTTTATACATAGTTTGATAGAACGTAGGCTGCCCACCACCAAAAACTAGTTTTTAACGCTTATAAACACCCTCTTTTTTAACCGAAAAACGCAAAAAAATTAGGTGGGTGACTTTTCTCACAAAAAACACATATATTTCAAATTATACAATATGTTTTGCTTCATTGTACTTGATAGCTTCTAAAATAATTTTTTTCTAATTCACCATGAAAAATTGAGTGCAAAAACGATGTTAAATCAGTTCTACTTCAAAAAGTATATAAATGGCGAGACGCCCTCTCCTCTTTTTTCGGACCGATGATGAGTTATTTTTGTACAATTATCTAGTTTTCCTGTGTAAGTGATGAAACCAAATACTTTAGTTCTTTTAATTCATCGTATCATGAGTCACAAAAGTATGTACTGGTGTTCTTTTCTTTTCGTTGTCGAGAAAAAATCATTCTGATTGAATTTTGGACCAAATAGCTAGAATTTTGCCTGTAGTTCTCATTTTTCTTCTTCAAAACCAAGCTTTTATGCAATAAGGTTGTTATATTCAAAATCAGCGTAAAATACAGAGTCGATTGATGTAGATTTCCGAAGCTTTTGTTACCTTTTATTATTCGGTCACGATGCCCGCCATCATTTCAAGTGAAAACTCGAAAATAGAGAAGGTCATTGACAATAAATAAAAACCTACATCAGTCGACTCAGTTTTTTACGCTGATTCCAAATATAACAGCTTTATTACATAAAATTTTGGTTTCAAAGAAGAAAAATAAGAATTCTAGCTATGTTATCCAAAATTCAATAAAAATGATTTTTCTCAACGATGAAAAGAAAAGAAAAAGAAATCGATGCTTTTTTTCTGACTCATAGTATGATGAAGCAAAAAAGTCAAAATATTTGGCTTCATCTAGGGATGTGCAGTTTCGGTTTACTGATAACTGACGTCACCAAAGAACGGTACACTGAGCACTGGGTTACACTGCATTGATGTCACTGACACTGACACTAAATCGACACCGAAGTTTACTGATACACTGTCGTTCACTACAGCACCGACATTCACGAATCACTGATCACACCGAAATCGATCTTCAGTGGAACACTGACACAATGATGTTGATTGTCGATGACTTTTATCTCTGCGTTTAATACTGTTAGGGCTTTGCCCTGACATATATCATCATCGTTTCTTTCCCTTGTTTTCTTCTCTTCTTTCTTTACTGATCTTTCTTCGGTTGGGTGTGGTTGTGGAGTGCGCGTCTCGGTGAGATGCGGGGTATGGGTATGCGTCTCGATAGGGCGCGAGGTGTGGGATGGGGATCTGGGTGCAATGTGGGGAGTGGATGTGGTCGGGCGTGGATGTGGGTATGGGTAGATGTGAGTGAAGAGGAGGACAGCATCCACACCGACACCCACACCCACATCCACCCACACCCACACACCCACACTTTATTTATAATTATCAACGAAATTAGCGAAATGACCATATCTATTCCTCCAAAAAAGAGGATTCATTTAAGTAATCTATAATTTTGAGTAATAAAGTCGATTTCAACGAAATACGCCACTTATAATCCTAATATTGACACATAACTGGGGTATTTTATGACTCGACCAAATTCATTTAAAGAAGATGAGAGTTTCCTAAAATTTATGTGGACTTTGTAAAACTATTTGTATCGTTTCGATTACATAAATTTTTCGCTTTATTTAATCTTTCTTATGCAATGGTGAAAAAAGTATATGTACGTAAAAGTGTATGTAGCTTATCTCAACCAAGAAACCAAACTATTGAGCGGATATGCTTCCATTCAATGAAAATATTTTGTCCATCCGCATATTACAGGCGGAAGATGTCGTCGTCTTCTGTGTATAAATTCTAGTCAATGTAAATCAGTATCAGTACGTCAGTGTTCCAGTGTGCGTCAGTGCAACAAGCGCAGTCGGTGTCAGTGTATGCACTGGTTCAGTGAACACCAATGTCGGTGCAGACAGTAGAACCAGTGCAGTCAGTATCAGTGTACGCACTGGTTCAGTGAAAACCATGTCGGTGTATGCACTGATTCAGTGAACACCATGTCGGTGCAGACACTGCAACCGAAGCAGGCAGTGTCAGTGTCATCAGTGTACCGGTGAACGCCAGTGTGACTTTATCGGTGATCAGTATACTGAAACTGCGCATCCCTAATTGTGAGGTTTTGTACGAAACCTTAGAAAAACGGAATGTGTAAGGACAGAGAACATGTCGTGCCCCACATACTCAGTATAACTATTGTTTACAAAGTTCCTTCGTTTTATAATATCTTCTAATTTTTCCAAAAACTCATTGTAAGGTTTTCTGCGGAACCCTAAAAACGGAATGTGTAAAGACAGAGAACATATCGTGCCCTATATAATGAGCATAAGAATTTTTCGTTTGGAACTTTGGGTGAGTGTTAACTGATAACATTAGACAAACGTCTTTACTTTTTTTATGATAGTTTCAACTAGGGGTGGCACTTTAACTTTACTTTAAAAGTTAAAGTTAAAGTGGCACTTTAAACTTTAATTAAAGTTTAAAAACTTTTCACTTTAATTAAAGTTTAAAGTGTTTTTAAAGTTAAAGTGCCACCCCTAGTTTTAACCATATGTTTTTTCATGCACGTTGAGCTTATACCAAACAAAATGAGCCTGCTTATTTTTTCGTTGTACTTGATCCATGAATGAATTTTTAGGTGAGTCCGATATTATCGAAATTAATAACCTTTTTTTTGTTTATTCCAGATCAATACCTTTTGCACAAATCATGTATTGGGTGCCGTTTATTTTATAGAATCAAATAAACGTATTTTGTTAATAGGTTGATTCATATATGATATTTTAAGTGAGTTTGCCTTTATGAAAAACAAATGAATCTCTATATTTTGGTTTTAGGTTGTTCTATATATGGAACTTTGGATAAGTTTTATCTTATTGAATTTGATTAATTTCTATATTTGTTTATTCTAGATCGATCCATACATGGAATTTTAGGTAAGTTCAATCATATAGAACTGAATAAATTTCTTTTTTTCCTTATAGGCTGATCCAACTACGAAAATAATGAGGTAAGTTCGATCTTATATAATACATATATTTATTTATTTCTATATTATAGTTTGATTCGAATATGAAAGCCATCGGTGGGTATTCAATTATCTGGAACTGGCCATGGTATGGATAACATGTTGAATATTTCTCAAAATATGACTATGGTATATATATCAACTCAATCGTATGTAAGTGAAGATAGACTATCGAGTGATTTTCTAGATCTTATGCAAAATCACTCGATAGTCTATCTTCACTTACATTCGATTGAGTTGATATATATACCATAGTCATATTTTGAGAAATATTCAACATGTTATTCATACCATGGCAGTACTAGATGTTTATATGAAATTTCTGACTAGCTGAACCATTAGAACAAGGTTTAGTGCAAATCATTTTGTACGAAACCTTTTGGGCATCATTTAGGCATGGTTTCGTACTGAACTTATTGTACGAAACCTTTTAGACTATTCTCTGTAAAGGTTTGGTACGGAACCTTCTGTGTGAAACCTTTTGGTCTCTACCCGGTAGAGGTTTCGTACTGAACCTTATATACGAAACCATTTTTTCCATTCAGGAAGAAGAAGTTTCGTACGAAACCTTCTTTTTGCGAAACCAGGCAAAGTTCCGACGGTGTGCCCGCGGGAAGATCCTTATTGGTTTCGTAAAGTACCTTTTTTTTTTACAGTGTAGAGATAATAGACTGTTTACTGGCATAAACAATGTGATAAAATTGGATCATAGATGATCTCTTCGGTATGAGTGTCGTTTTTTAAAGATTTTATATAATTTAGTATTACGGTTCTTATCGCCATGACTTTAAACTGATCTTTCTTTTATGCCTAAGATTCTGAGAAAACATCAATTCGATATTCTCTTCTACTGTCAGCAGGTTCTGTACAAATTCATTACGTTTATTTCGCACTGTATGATATCAAAAATTTATAATATAAATGCAAAAAAGTTCCTTTAATGTTAAGGGACACCGGTTTCTGACATATATCAACAACAATGAGACTCTGTTTTATGAAAGATTATCTAAAGACAGTGTTGAAGTAGGAAGAAGAGAAATTAGGACTTTCTTCTCCACAGATATAACCAGGCGCGCGCTAGAGATGCCTCAACCACTGTTCTCTAGAAGGCTTTGGGTCCCTTTTAGAAGCACTACCAGCGAAACATCACAAATATCTTAGCAATACTGTTTTCCTTCTCCTCCATAGATCGTCGTAGATATAAGCACGAAACTGAAATTTACTATCCGATTAGTATGAGAAACGATTGAATTTAATACATATGTCATGTGACCTCCATTTCAAACTTCTTGTAATTTATTATGATTAGCATCTTTCATCATGGACATACCTTATCAGTACATTCGAATCGACAAACTAAATTCTATGTTGCAGAATTCTCTAATTTATAATATATCCAGGTCTGCATTGTGTTTGAAATTTTCATCTTGCATATATTGTGTTAATAACCTTTATTATCATAAAATAGAATTTAACCTATTCAATATAATTAATATGTTTCCTTTATTTCAATTCGCAATTGATGACCATTTCTGATCACCATATAAGATGTTTTGTGATATTACTAGATCGATCGTAATGAAACATCATGAATTATTAGTTTGTATTAAAAGTAAGTGTGTAGGTGTGGGTGTGAGTGTGAGTATCCACTTGAAATACACTCACACCCACACCCATACCACACACACGCCACCACCCCACACTGATTCCTTATTATTCAGAAAAAGTTTCAACAAAAATTTATATTCATTGCAGAAAAAAAAGAAATACATGCTCGGCATATAAACATCTATACGCTACCATATCTAACTACCTGCACGTGTTTTGTTAATGTAAGAGAGTTGATGAAAATATGCTTTTACTTTTTTTTCATATGTTAAATAAAGTTAGCATTCGTTCCGTGTGAGACGAGAAAAAAACATAATGTGCAGACTGGTTTGTCTGACTACTTGCCTTTTTCACTGAAGTGAAACGAAAGCAATCTATGCATCAGTGATCAATATTATAAAAGAAGGTGACAAGTGTATTTCTCTTCATATTTTTTTAATTTTTTTGCATTCATTTGAATTTATAGTTAGTATATAAACTCGTTCGTTTTCGACTCCAGTTATCTTTGGGCATTATTTAAAGGTAACTATGAATATACTATTTTCATTTAGTCTGCACTATTTAGATGATATCTGTTCATGTCAGAGGTTGTTGCCTTGATGAATTGCGTAAATCTAATTCCTGTTCTATTTTCGTTCTTGTGAATAAGCAAGAAGAACAACAGCTTATGAACAAGTCAAGGATACAGAATGTGCCCCCTATTCTTTGAAACTTTTTTGCACAATCCATTCTCATGATTTGAATATTGTGTTCTACGTATTGTAAACATAAGTTACTTACAAACACGCTGATCGATTCTTACGTGAAGCTTCAGTTCATGTATCAGAATCGACTGCAACTTCGTCTTAGATATTCTTTGCACATATGTGATGAAGTAAAATACAGAAGTTTTTTCTCTGCAATATAATTTAAATAGAAGTAGATTCAGTAGTTCAGAATTGGTAGATGCTCTAAAACGACACTCAATACGTTGTATATTTGACACAACTCGATCAGGCAATTTTTGTGATAATAATATGACGTAGATTAAACAAAAAATTTTCGTTTGCAGTTTGTAATTGCACTAAAATCTGGAACATATAGAAGAGGTTAAAGTCGAAACCACTAGTCCTGATGCTATTTTAACTAAAACATGACACAGATGGAGCCAGTCCAGTTTCTTGAAGATCAGCACTAGTATTAGTCTGAATAGGTCAGACCTGGCTGAACCGGTCGACCTGACATCTGAAATGATACCACTTATGGTCATGATTGGTAGCGATTCTCTTTTAGAACAATGTTATTTAACATGGCTAGGTTTCAAGAAAAGCTTGTTAGTGCAGCTCCTTTGGGACTAAAATGTGAAACTCACGTATCTTCTTTAGTTTGCAGTGGCGTAGCCAATGGAGGGGTAAATAAGTAATTGCCCATTTCATTTGGAGTTTTGCCCATTGTAATTTTTATGCGTAAGTGTTTATCCATTGAAGTTTTACTTTATCAGAATGGTTTATTGATTTTTCGATTAGTTAATAACTCTATTTTTATTCTTCCATCTGAATCACACGTACACTTTTTGCTTGTTCTTTTTGTGAAGAATTAAGAAAAGAAGAAGGAAAGAATTGCCTCTGGTATCTTAACCAGGATTACCAGATGAAAAACTTGAAAATCAGAAAGAGTAACTTTTTGCAAACCAATGACTATCATGTTGACTTACTTACACAAAAGGCTTCAGTTTTTCTGTTTATCGACTCATACTTTATTTCCAAAAGTATTTCATAGTAAAGAAAGATAACACAAACATTATATAGCTCAGAGTGAAAGATCCTGTACTGTAAATTAAGGAGATTGATCATAGTCAGATCAAATGAACGCTCTCACTGTCAAATGAACTAATTAAAAATATGAGCTGCCAATAGCGTACACAGACTGAAATATTCGAATTTCAAGAAATTTACAGTTTGTTATATGCCCACAGTACGAAATTTCATCAACACTTAGCTTTCTTTTTTCGTCATGGTTGGATGAAGCACGATCATTTACCTAAGAAAAAACAATATCACGCACATTAAAAAGCAAATTCTACGAAGTCTAGGACAACAGTTTTTTAATTATAAGAGTAATTAAAAAAAATTCTAATTGCTGCCAAATTGCTTTTGAATATGTGTGATATTGCTTCTTATTATGTAAATAGTCGTATTTCATCCAACCATGACGAAAAAAGAAAACTAAGTGTTGATGAAATTTCGCAGTGTTGGCATATGACAAACTGTAAATATCTTGAAATGTAAACATCTCGGCCTGCGTATGCTATTGGTAGCTCATGTTTTAAACTAGTTGGTTGGTGAATGAGAGCATTTATTTGATTCGACTGTGACTAATCTTCTTAGTTCGCAGTTACATGGCCTTCAGTTGTTAGTTAATACAAAAAAAGCTAGCAAAAAACATCGAGTGTTGGATTCTTTCATGAAGCCCATAATCTGTTTGCGAAAAATATGCACAAACAAATCAAATATATAAACAATGTAGATCAAAAAACCTTACGAAAAATAATAAAGATTATAGAACATAAATTCCATATTATTTTTCAACTTTTTCCTTTCTTCAAAATTCCTTCAATAAATGTTTTTGAGCTAAAATATGTTTACAAAATCATTCAAAAAAATACTAATTAGCATTCATTCTTAAGTTCAGCAACGCAAGAATTTACTGATATATTAAAGCACTCGTCAGTGGCTGCAGAACTCAAAAACTACAAAAGGTTAAGAAAAGAAAGAAATGAGCAGTCAAGTAAGAGAGACCGATTTACAGATGAATAGTCAATGAAAAGGTAACGATCGGTTTGCTGGCACCCTAGTGGATGTGCAATTCGTATCGGTACTGGCTCCATCTCTGAAGGATAAGTGTAGGCATGCACCGAACCCGAACGTTCGGGTTCGGGTTCGCTCTGAGGGTTCGGGTTCGGGTTCGCTCTGAGAGTTCGAGTTCGGGTTCGGTCTGAGAGTTTGAGTTCGGGTTCGGTCTGAGAGTTTGAGCTCCGGTTCGGTCTGAGAGTTTGAGCTCCGGTTCGGTCTGAGAGTTCGGCTTCGGCTTCGGCTTCGGCTTCGGCTTCAGAGTTCGGATTCGGGTTCGGTCCGAGAGTTCGGGTTTGGGTTCGGCTTCGAATTCGGGGTCAGTTTTCACTGCAGTCATTTTTAGTGAGCTAGTAAGAAGAGTCGGATGTCATCGAAAGCAAAATAGTTGCGGGCTTCATAACAATCAATCTCAAATAGTAGAGTGATTGATTCAAAATTTGGGGATCTGCAAAAATGCTAAAAGTGAGCTATCTTCAGAAATATTGTATTCTGAACTGGAATTTCGGTAAAGTTAAGATCTGT